TTGAAGAAGTGAGAGCAGGAGAGCTTGAGTGACGTATATATGAATGACGAGCAGCTGTTTGTCAGTCCTATGAATAAGAACCAACAAACAGTTGAACTTAATCGTCACTGATTATCATCAAATTTTATACATGCTGTAATAAAACACAGGTGTCTCATTAATTCAATAAATGCATTATTGAGCATCGGCTTTGCTTTTTTTATCAGTTGAAAATATTTTTTCAAAATTTGAAGTGAGCTTCAGTTATAAAATTTTATATTGCATCATTGGATTTGCGCTTTGTTGCATGTAGAACGTGTCTACTAAGTATCTACTTTTTTTTACAAGCACCTTATTCAATCACGACGACAAACTGTTCTGACAATTGCAAGTGCTTGGTAGTTGTAAAAATAATACGTCAATATTTTTCAACTTTACTAAAAACAAAACTCAACTTTGCAACTCTTTCTCTGTACTTTGAAATTTTTATTTCGTTGAAAATCTGAAAACTGTATTCATAACAGACCAGATTTAATCAAAGACTATCAAATCCTAAGACACAATTTAAAAGTATTTAGATTGTAACCGTAAATTGAAAAAGTAATAAATTGTATTTCAATGATTCGAATAATTTTTGAATGAAATTTAAAATTGTGTTTGAAGTTAATTGAGTCGCCAAAAAAGTGTACCTAAGATTAAAACAGCATGCACCCCACTAACGTAGCAACTCTTCGGTGAATACAAACTGTTGAGGCATGCATTTGAAGGGATTATACCTAATAAGTTCTGATGCCCTCGAGCTAACATTAACAAACTTTCCCACCTTATAAATTATTCACTGCCTTTGAAACATTCACAACTTCAGCAATTTTCACCATCATCACTTCTCTCTTTTCAATTGTTTTTGTAATTTTTTTTGTGAAAAGTTTTATCAATCATAACATTCAGAATGTGTAGAGACTAAAATAGAATGTACGCTTTACATTAACGGGAAAATTTATTGTTGAAGCTGTTTTGTGCATAAAAATTTATACGTTAATATCAAACTGCTGAATTTGATTACTTTCAACAATAGAAAAAAAATGAGGATTTTTTTTCTATTTTTTTTTGCAAATTCATGAAGAGTTGTTTGAAACGTCCAAGTGCCTACTTAAGTGATGTGATGTAACCTGATTGAATGATGGTGCTCCAACAAATTCTCAGACGACCATCATAACATCTCCATCCGTCTCATACTAATATCATAACAACTCTCCTCCCAATTGCAACTTGTTTCCTTCCAGCTGCCTTCTCCATGAAGTGCGCTCCCTGTTTGCACAGCAAAGTTATTCAATGTATTCCTAAATTTTTCCATCGTGTATTCTTTAGTTGTGCTATGTTCAGACAGACACATGTGTTTTGCTGTTCTCGTTTTAAATTTCATGATTTTCTACAGCCTACAACTCTCAATGAACAATGTCTGGATTAAAAAAATAAGTTTCCTGATTTGCTGAATGATGTTGATGTTTATAATCAAACTCTACTCATCTTGAAAGAGTTCACTCTTATGTTTGGACGATGAGATGATTATTTTATGTGAATGAGGTTCACTGGCGTAATGGTTAAGATGCCTGGCACTGCTGTCGCAACGACCGGGCTCAAAAACAAATAGATTCCAGCTTATCACATGCAACACCAGTAATGCATTTGCTCGTTGGCATTAACAGCCGCTGGGCGTGTTGTTGTTGTTGTTGTTGCTGCTGTTGAGGTCTCCGAAAAATGCTAATTGAGAATTCAACAAAAGGATATGCTGAATCGCTGGGACACTCCTGTCAGTGAGGAATATGTTTTTTTGCGTCAAATTACGGTCAGTCTGCTAAAAATAAATATGAATTAAAGTTATTGCTTAAATATCTTTTTTCGTTTTGAAATATCCACGTACAAGCATATGCATCATATTTTGCTTCAAAGTGAAAAAAATTTTGAGAATATTTTAGAGGTTGGTAGAAACTTCTATTTATCAGATATTTTATGTTGAACAAGCTCAACGAAATTTAACTTATGTTAATGCCGTAACAGAACTGGGCCTTGTTTTTATTGAGTTGTGGGTGGTATTGTTGCTTAAACATAAATGGATGTTTTGCAAGTTTGTTTTATTTTGACTTAATTGCTTGTACATAGTTTCCACAGTTTTCAGTAACCGCCAACAAATGTGCATTATTTTCCAACATCTGCTGTTTAAAATTCACTTGAAGTACACATTTGCGAATAATTTCCATTTTATTATTTTATAGGGGTCTCATGGCCGAGTGGTTAGCGTGTCCGTCTACCACTCCCACGACCCGGGTTCGAATTTTGCAGTTTCTACAGATTCATCCGGGTAGCCGATCCCCGGTCAACCCAGCCGTCCATCCTTTCGAGGTTGGTAAATGGGTAGACGACGTAAGTTGTCGCATGCTGGCTGGCGAGATGGCTCGGTGGTTCAAATGCTCGCTGAGTCAAACATCTCAATGGCTATCATATACTCAGCGTATATGATGCGGTGCTTGCGCGTGCACATAAATACATGTGTACGTCGTGTGAAAAGGATAAACAGCCTTTGTGGCAAAAGATGGCTGCTTCAAATCATTAGATGAAGAAAAGAAGAACATAATAAAAGATATATAGATAACATAATATATCTGTAACATTGTAAGTGGTTCTGCGTATGTCAGAGCTGCAATAATAAAGACTAATAAAAAAAAAAATTATCTGCAATTTATGATATGAAATAGTTAGCTTCGAGTAGATTATTTTTAATTTCCTTGAGGTTATCTTTCCAGAACATTTTCTGTTAAACATCATAGTTGGATAACTCTCTCTTATCACTCACTACTTAATTTTCATGACTGCGGATATCATTTAGTCAGATACTGCGTCATGCCATATATATTACAATATAAGCACCAAACTTGTACGTTAAAAACTGCATCAAGTGTATATTTAATTAGCAATCTGAAAATGAGATTAATGTTTAAATTGGTCGAACATTTTTGTATTCATTGATTGTCCTTACTGCAAATCAATCGTTCATTCTTTTTCTTAATTGTAAATCTTTTTTTATAGAGTTTATTTATGTTTAAAGATAACATGATTTTATTTCTAAATCTATTTTTGATAAATAATTAAATAAAAAATGAATTAACTTGGAATGGAAGAAAATTTTTTTTGAGAGTTATTCATTTTTTTTCTGCGAACTTAATCAACACTGCCATATCAACGGAAGCGTAAAAATTTAAACGCCACTCCACTAATAAAACCCGAGGTGTCAAAAAATTTACCGATTAGGTTGGTACATGCCTGAGTTTATTCGCATATGACGAGGGGCAAGCAGATTTATGCCGATTGCAAAAACTCAACTCTTTCATCTGAGTAAAAATATTAAAAATGCATTTCACATTTTATTCGCATCAATTGCGTGAGAGTTTTTATGAACCGTTCTACAAAATTTTTTCAAGTTTCAAGTGTTTTTTACTCTGCGATTTTCATCACATTAAAGCAAGAAGCACTTGAGAAGAAATAAATAATTGCAACATGCGAACGAGCAAATGGGCGCCGGTGTTAATATTTTTCAGTACGTTCTTACGACGACTGCTTAAAAGGTGCAATAAATAAATGAATGTTGCCTTCTGCTGTCACCAGACCGCTTACTTATTGGGTTGCTCTAAACATTTGTCTCCCACACACGTACATGTTTGTGCACGCGCGTTACTCACACACACACACGTACATATACGTAGGTGAGTTGTTTTAATATATCATATTAATGTTCACACGTGTTTATATATATTTATATATATTGTGCAATATATATATATATATATATATTTATATATATATATATTTTGTTCAACATTCATGAGTAATTTTCAATGTTATTTCAGTATAAATAAATTTTTATCTTTTTATGCGTTTGATCATTACTTAAGAATGATAATAACAAAAAAAACTAAACTGAAAAATATGAAAAATTATTTTAAAATCAGCTCTTGTAAATATTAAGGTCTGCAAATTATGGAAAATAAATTGAAAAAATCATTTTAAAACCAATTTTTTCAGATATAAGTTGCGGTTCTCTAACAAAATATTGACATTCAATGTTAAACTATAATTTATAATAAACTTTCTTTCGATTCAACAAAAAGTTTATGTAAAAAATCAGCGTATGTGGTTACACAAGTTCCTATAACTACGTATTAAAAGGCATGAAGTGTCTGCAACATAACATCTCGTTTTTACTTGCAGTTTTCTACGAATTTTGCTGCAAAATATTCCAATGTCGAGAAGAATTTACGAGAAGATTATCTATAACGATTGAGAAAATTGTGCTGAGAGAAGAAAATGCAAAAAAATATTTGAATTTGAAGGCAATGCATTGGTGAATTGTTATGAAGATATGCATTGTGAATTGTTATGAAGATGTTGTTCTGGTAGATGCATAGATGTTTTCATTTTCCAGTTTGCAGGTTTTTTGGGTATTTAACATAATGAATGCATTCAACTTTATTTACGTAATGCTTCCAAGTTTAATCCACCAAACATTTTAATAATAATGTGTTCTATAACATTTGGGTGGATGAATGCAATGCAACTGAATAATAATCCCACTTACTTTATATTAATATTTGCAAAGTACATTTTAAACAATCTAACCTTAACAAATGTTGTTATGAAGATTGTATTTCATTATTTCTCATATTAGCAATCAGTTACTTCCTTTCACCAGAATTTGGTAAATATCAAAAAACTCAAGACAGCACGCCGTTAGGATTAGATGTTCCATTCTTGGATGATTTCCATCTAATCCAATTTAAATCCTTTCAACGTTTCTGATGCTAATATTTTCACATGTAACACGTTTGAAACATAAACAACACACAACAAAAACAACAACGAAGTTGTGTTTCTCAGCAAAACTACATAAAACAGCAGAATTTTAATAAAACTTAGCAATGAAATAATATTTCTTAACCTAGGCAACAAAGAAAAAAGAAAATCGTGCAATGTTGAAAAGATATTCTCGACCAGACATTGAAAGGAAAGTGACTTCTCACTATGACATAACGTTGAAAGAATTGAAGGAGTTGATGAGGTTGAGAGGAAAGGATGCAGTTGGACACATGCAGCAACGCTATGGAGGTGTCGTGGAATTGTGCCGGAAACTCTACACATCTACCACGGATGGTTTGTTGCTGTTGTCGTTTTCTTGCTCCATGCTTTTGTAAATGTTGCTGATTTTGTTGCTGATTTTGTAGGCTTTGTTGATGTTGTTGTTGTTGTTGATGTTGTTGTTGATGTTGTTGTTGATGTTGTTGTTGGTGTTGCTGATGTTGCTGCTAATGATGTTGCTGTTGCAGATACTGTTGCTGATACTGTTGCTGATGTTGTTATTATTGATGCTGTATGTTTCTGTTGTTGATGCTGTTGAAAAGACGTTGTTGATGTTGTTTAATGTTGTTTTTATGCGCTTGCCGATGTTCCTTCTGAGATGGTGAGGTCATTTGTGGACTCTGCAGCAAACGTGCTTCTTCATTCATTCCTGAATTTTTACAAATGTTTTACACATTTAGGTGAATTTTTAATAAACACTAATTCAAAAAAAATCATTTTTTATTTTGATTGATTTAATATGATTGAAGGAGTTTAGAAAAAATTGTTTACTAGCAGTTGCACGTATAATAGTTAATAATTTGTTTTGTGACGTGGTGTTGCAGAATTTTAAGTATACTGGCAGAAATGTAAGTAGAACTTTGTGAGTTTTGTGTGAAATGGCATTGAAGAAAGAGGAATGATTGATTGCACAGTCCAGTTTTGTTGGAGATACATATTACCGTGAGATAGAAACGAATGAATTGATGTTATTTCTATTGTACGTACAATGCACGAACCAAAATATTTGCATGTTTCATGGGGTTCAATGGTGCTTGCAAATATATTTCTCTCTCTTCACTCTGCCATTCGAAATTATTTACTGTAATATTTTTTATGCAATAAAGCATTAATGAATAATTCGCAAAAACGTTTTTCCAATGAAAATGTAATTGTGGTGATGGAAAAGAACAAAAGTCGAAATGTTTATTAAGCATGAAAACACGATACTGATGATGACGACGACGACGATGATGATAATAAAAATGATGATGATGACGATAATGATGATTATACGTGTTGCCTGAATAACTTTTTCAATCTTTTAAACAATGACAGACAGGCAATCAATGAACAACAATAACAAAACTCACATTTGGTAAGCAAGTTGGAAAAGCTTGTGTGGCTCATTTGTTTTGATGCTTCGGCGAAAATAAATTTACGTTTGGAGAGTTGTTGACAAAGATTCTTTCAGAAAAATTTTTGCCTAATAAACAGAAACGAATAGACCAACAGGAAAAGAAAAACTGTGGTTCCTTTGTTGAAGTAAGAGTCTATCTTGAACACATGCAGTAATAACATTACGAAATGGAAACATACACATAATTAAACCGTTACAACTAAATTGCCAAACATCAAAAAACGCACTGGAAAATCCGAAGATTTGTAGGAAAGGATAAAATGATCTTTTAAGGACTGAGCTAACTATGCAAGCGTGCATCAAAATTGATTGATCTGCGAAGGGGAAGCAACAAAAAAAACTTCGGAATAAAATCAAAAACTGTTTCGTCGGAAAGAAAATTACGTTAACGATAAAAAAAGAAAAACAGAAAAAAATACTTAATGAACGCGGAGTAAGGAAGGAGCTCCCCTGTTAATCTTGCACTCGTTGAACACACGGAACAGGTAGAACCGTACATTAACATCATGGCGTCATTCTAATATTCACTCTACACAATATAGATATTACACATATAAGTGAGTTCATGTGTGTGTGTGTGTGTGTGTGTGTGTGTGTGTATGTATGTGTGTGTGTGTATGTGTGTGTGTTTGCATGTGTGAGACTGTGTATGTGTTTTATACGGATATGTAACTGTATATCTGCGTTAATACACATGCATAATAATAAAGTGGAAAACGTATTTGCATTATAAATTCCAGAATAATTTATTGTACACTTGATTTGTTTATTGTGTGTTTGTCTTCTATTTCTTTCATGTATATGATATGTGCATGTACGACAATATTCACATACATTTATTGTATACATGGATACATACGTACACACATACAAACATACATACACGTGTATACATCCATCGTCCATCCATCCATCCATACGTACATACATGCCTAAATACAAACATACATCCATTTGTATATAACATACATACATGGTTTGTGAACGTTCACGTAAATTGAATTTTTCATTGAAAAGTTTACTTTTTATAAACAAAAATCTATTTACGCACCGTTTTTGATCGCTTATGAACGAGTACTTTCCAGTGTCCTTGTGTTGTTGTGCAGTTGTGTTGTTGTGCAGTTGTGTTGTTGTGCAGTTGTGTGGTTGTGCCATTAAGTATAATTATTTACTAACATTCATTCATTCATCGTACGGAGGTTTTAACTTACATTTGTGTATGTAATATTACTTGAAATTTGTCCATTATAATTTGAAATTTTTCATTAAATTACTATTTATCAACGTTTTAGAACCGTCGTCAATTTAGTAATTTTGATTCAATTAAATCCTAATGAACTGCTGAATATATGTTGGTTGCATTATCGCATTGCTAGGGAATAGTTTAAATAAAGGACGACCGTCTTTATGTTCTTTATATACTTGCCACTCGATCAAAGTGTGGCTCGCACTCAAACAAATCAACGCGACGCTTGCGTGGGTACAATCGTTTTGAGGCTAATTTTGATGTGAAATCGATCAATTTTTCAAAAAAGCACACATTTTACTATTTTTTTAAAAGTCAATGAGTTACAATAAGCAATGAAAATATGACATAAAATTTACGGACACAAAATAAATTATGCTAAAATTATTACGTGGCACCCACCACCATCACTATCATCTCCACCATCACCACCACCATCATCACAGGCCTCAGCAGCAACCCAGCAGAGCTGGAAGAGCGGAAGTTGGTCTTTGGCAGCAACGTCATCGACCCTGAACCGGCCAAATCATTCCTCTGCCTGATGTGGGAGGCCCTTCAAGACATCACCCTCATCATCCTCATCGTCGCCGCTTTCATTTCTCTGGTTCTCTCATTTTACCAACCACCCATTGATGATGAAGATTCGTTTGGTTAATATTTTTTCATCAATATTTTCAACCACTCTAAATATTCATTTTCATCCTCCTCCTCCTCCTCACTTCCTCCTCCTCATCATCATCACCAGCAGCAGCATCGTAGCACTACCGCTGGTAGCGTTCAACAGCCGCCAAAAAATCAAAAAATTATCTGAATGAGATCCGCCCAGAAAGTTGCGAGAGATTGTAATGTAGTGAGAGGGGTTGGAGGTGTGGAAGACAGCGACAATGAATATCAGAGGAAGCAAAACCGATTTGAGTAAAAAAAAGAGTGTTCAACTGCAATAATTGAGTAATGAAAATCACAAAATAATGTAAATCACAAAAACATTGGCTGTCATGTAACATCTAAATTGTTATTTATATATTTTAATTTATTTTCACGTCACGATATTTTGAAAAATTCATGTTTCGTAGCACCAGTTGGTGTTGAGGTTAGTAGATAATCGTGATGGTATCTACATAGGTGTCAGTAAATTCACACACACACACACACACACACACACACACACACACACACACATGCACACACATTTTTGAAACTTGTCTGTCAACTAAAATGATAGTGCAATAAAATCTGAAATATTTATGACGAAGCTTAAACGTTGCAGCCCGCAGCCAAGCCATCATTTCTGCACCTACATATCAAATAGGCGTCATCATGACGTCATCATCGTATTATCATCTCGTCATTATCATATTATAATCAGTTTGTCATCTTCAAAAAATTATCTTTATCAAGTGTTTATCATCATGAACTAACCAGCAATAAAAGGGTCTTCAAATTCAAAGTTACCAATATTTAAACGTTCAAAAATGTCTTTATGGAAATATTTTCCATCAAACATATTTTCTTAGTCACCATGATATCATATACCTTAAAAAAGTATATAATTCCTTCGTCGCATCATCATGTCGTAATCTTTTATGGAAAATTCAAGAGAAATACCAATTAGAGACTGATTAAGAGCAATACTTAACGCAAATTAATTGACAATCCAAATGATAATGAAATTTTTATTATTTGTAATTTTTATTTGATCTCTATTTCGTCGTCGTCATCGTAAATACTCTCATTATTACCACTTTAATCATTTAAAATATATTATTGTCATCATTAATTAATTTCTGCACTCTCGACATGACATCATTTTGAATATCTAAATCATCGACACATAATGAAAAATTTTTAATCTAATAACTTTTTTTAATTTTTTTTAGTACACTTCTATTTTTACACTGTTACAGATTTCACGTAATGATAACATCATCTTGTCAAGTCCATCTCACATATTGATCACATCACAAAGTCGTGCCATCTTAAATTATCTCAAGCATCGCCTCGAGATGGCATTATTAATTTTTTTTCACACGGTCACATTACACATATAACATCATTAATCAATCTTCATAACTGCATCGTCATCATCATTATCACCTGTCACTTGAATTCATCATCATCATCATCATTATCACATTAAAACACCACATGATAGCATCTCGTCACATCAACATTTTATCAGTTATTATTATATTATCGTTAAGTAAATGACAATTTATCACATAATCATCATCACATTCATATCATCAATGCATTTTACATCACATTGTAACATCATCACCAACTTCATTATTATCATCGTCATCACCATCGTCATCACCACCATCATCATTTTCATAGTCATCATCATCATCATGATTGCACACGATCCAGGCCATCACGATCAGTCGGAATCAAAGGCAGGCTGGATTGAAGGAGCCGCCATTTTGATTGCAGTCTTCGTCGTCGTCATCGTGACGTCATTCAATGACTGGCGGAAGGAGAAGCAGTTCAGAGGTCTGCAGAGCAGAATCCAGGTGGAACACAAATTCGCCACCATTAGAGACGGAGAGCTGCTCCAAATTCCTGTGGCGGAGTTGGTCGTCGGAGATATTTGTCAGGTCAAATATGGTTAGTTGCGTTGTTGTTGTTGCTGCTGTTTGTTGTCGTTGCTGTTGTCGTTGCTGTTGCTGTTGTTATTGTTTTTTGTTTGTTTGGGGGATCAGATGTGATTAGTTTATGTATTAATGCTATTTATGAGTTGTTATTACTCACTTGTGGTTAATTTTTGATGTTGTGTGCAGAGTGGAAAGATGATTAATATAATTTTATTTATATTAGTTTTTATTGTAGACCATAACATCATCGTCATCGTTATCGTAATCTCCATAATAATAATAATAATAATAATAATAATCATCATCCTCATTGTGAGTTTACGACAGCAGCAATCTTTATTGCGGCATTCTCATTTCGTTATTTCCTTTGTTGTTGAAGAAAGCCTTCGAAACAACGTCATCATCGTTAGAGATGTACCTATCAACCTCGCACTCCTTGCACTCTTCACTTTAATCTCCCGTCTTTGTCCTAAAATGAATGCCCTTTCCAATTAGCGAAATGACGGATCTAGCCAGATCCTGTTTATCGCTTTTTCAGTTTCACTCGTTGCCATTTAAACTGACAATTTGATATCGTTGCTATGCCGTCGCCATCATCATCCTCATCATCATCATCATCATCACCAACAGGTGATTTACTTCCGGCAGACGGGATCGTCATACAGTGCAATGATTTGAAAGTTGACGAAAGTTCCTTAACAGGCGAGTCGGATCACGTGAAGAAGGGACACGACTTCGATCCCATGCTCCTCTCAGGTGCCTCATTAACATAATTTATTCATATTGTATAATTTATTCATATTATTATAATTGATTGATTTATTATGTTTTTATTCCTTCATTCATTTATTCATTCGTTCGTTCGTTCGTTCATTCATTCATTATTCATACAAATATTGGTTCACTCGCAGCAAACACTAGTTAATTCATAGAATTAATTTGACAGTTCATTGACATTTCTCATTACACTGTTTGATGCTATTCGTATTACAATTTCAACAACGCCCAACTCTGCAATTTCATCGTTCTGTTATACGAAACGATGACAAAATTTTTGATTTTTGAGCAATGAATGGCTTTGTTCATCATTCATCGATGATGATGACAATGACGGTGATGATGATGATGATGATGATTGATGATGATGGTGATGGTGTGGTGATGATGAGTTTGACTAGATTTTTAAATTACATTTGAAAAATGACAAACATAAATAATGTAAGCAGTTTTTCTTTTAATCTTTAGAGATATCACATTCCAATGATAATAGAACTGATTAAAAGTTTTCAAAATGACATTCGCGTTAATATGTTCTACCAGGGAAATTCCAGGGATGGACGGATGGATGGATAGACGGATGAATGGACGGACGGACGAATGGATGAATGGATTGATGGATGGATAGATAGATAGATAGATAGATAGATAGATAGATAAATGGATAGATGGACGGAAGCCTGGATGAATGAATAAAAGGTGTCATATTTAATTAAAAGAGCACGTGCATATTGATGGATGAATGAATGAATAGACGAATGAAAAAATTGATGGGTGGATGGATGTATGGATGAATTAATGGATAACAGAGTAAATGGATAGCAGAATTTTCGGATGAAAAACTGGACAACGGACTAATAAATAGATAAATAAATAAATGGATTAATTTTTAGATAAGTAGATGGATGAATTGATGCAAGTTTTGGCAAAACTTTTAGTAAAATTATTTGCAAATTTTTTTTAAACTTTAATATAATAGATTTTCAGTAGCAAATCGGCTTTTTGTAGCCTTTTTTGTAGGTGTTTGCGTCTGGGTATATACGCACAAATCTTTCTCTTTTTCTCTCTCTTTCTCTTTTTTTCTATACCTCTGTTTATATATGCACATATGATAAAAAGATGAGTAAAATTTTTTTTTGTTAGTTCATTAATTAATTGATGGCCAGCGAAAATCACGCGATGTTATTAAACACTCGTGAGATGATTTTGAAATGGTTAATGGTTATGGCCATAAGAGGTGCACCTCAAAATGACTGCCGAAGTTAATTAGTAGAATTATTGTTGTCTGAAAGCAAGCGGTGCAGTTGAGTGTGTTAGAAGTAAAATTGTCGAATGAGGCGGAAAAAAATTTTCTTTGATCGAAAGTACTCTTGCAGTGCAATGAAAATTAACAACATTTTTAAAAATAAATATTTATATCAATTTATTATTATTAGTAGTAGTATTGTTATTATTATTACTGAAAATAGTGTATTTATAATCGCCTTTTTAAAAATATTTCAGAGGCTCTAACCATTACAGAAGTACTTTGCGTAGCTCTTTATTAAGCCAATGCATTGAATGGAAAAACGTTAGCACGGGTAAGCTTGGACAGAAAGATGGTGTTTCAACCTTCTACAAAATTGAATAACAAACAACACAGGATCACAAAGGTCCCTAGGCAAACTATTCCAGGCAGCAAGACCCATTACGAAGAAATTCCTTCGACCAATCGCCAAGTTTGTGTAAGGTATAAACAGTAAGCCTCAGTTGTCAGAGTGCAATGTTTGATTCAGAGATGGCATTGTTCTAGGAATGTCTCTGTCAGATAAGTTGGTCACCAACTTGTATTCGTATGCGATTGGCAATATCGAAGTAAAATTAGAGTTACACATTTAAAATCTTTTGTAAGTAAAGTATTACATTGATTTTAAAGTGAATTAAATTTTTTTTAAATAATTTTTGGCATTTCCAAATGCAAGTGATCAGATGAAAACATATTTCAAACGCAAATAAACACAGCTGAATTTTCAAAAACCTATAAAAACTTTCAACATTTGACCAGTTTTTAATAAATAAAAATAAAATGAAATTATTTTGTGTGTGACCATGCGTCATTTCTGAGGACAGGTGTGTTCTGAATGGATCATGGAAACGTTAAAAACTTGAAACAGAACTTCACAGCAGAGTCGATTAAGGCTTTTATGAAATAATTCGGTAAATTGAAATATAATGATTCGTTTTTTTGTAATGAAAAGTGAAATGATTTGTTTTACATTCCGACCAATAGTCGTTGTAAATTAGACCAAATCTATTTTACATATTCATTCAGTCAAACAAACCAACCAATTGAACGGATGCAAAGTTGTTAAAATTCCTTATAATAATCAAACTATCATTCATTGAGTTATAAATTTATTATTTTCGTTCGTTCGTTCATTCGTTCATTATTTTTTAAATATAAATTTTTATTTATATCTGGATTTCTGATTGATGTGTGGCACGGTCGACTTTCTAATGACCACATTTATTTCGAAGCCTTTGTTTCAGTGGGATGAATTTTTTTAATGTTTTTTTTGGATGAAAAAACTTTTTTGCTTTTGTTTGTTCTTCTTGTTTTAAAGTTTATACGAAACATGATAAATTGTAGTTTTAATTTTCTAAACAAGTCGTTTGTACAGAAGCAAAATTTTTAATAATGTTTTGTTGGTTGTTTTGTTTTTTAAACTTGCTCAGGGACCACCACCAGGTGAAAATGTAGTCAGTCCTAAATTGGACAGGCTACAATTGATCTATTTCTATAATACAATAATCAACACATAAAATGGAGAGTTATTTTTGTTCTGAATATACGGAGAAAATAAACCCGTATCCAACGTGCATGTATGCCTAAAATTTTTGTGTTATAGTCTGTGAAGCCAATAACCAAACCAGGTTAATGAGAGAAAACGTCAAATAACATGGAAAATAACTTTTCGTAGGTTGAGTTAAGGTCAGACGAGTTGAACGTTTTAATAGCTCGGGGCACGTAACCAGTGCACCTTTCTTCAACTTATGAAAGTGTGTTTGTGTATGTCGTTGCGTGTTTGTGTATGTTGTTGTGTGTTTATGCGTGCTTGTGTATGTTGTTGGGTGTCTGTGTGTGTTGGCATGTGATTTTCTGTTGTTGCACGTTGAATTTTCTCACTTTGCTGACCTCGTGTGATTTCATTATTTCAAAAACATTTAAGAATGGTTTTTCATCTCCATCAATCCGTCATAATTAATTTATTAATTGGGTTTATCAACTGTTTATATAAAAATAGATTTGATTTGTTTCCAGGAAGATATTTCCACGATGGGAGCGTTATTTTAATTCGAATTCTATCTTCAGCCAAAAATTCTTTCATCACGGAATTTGTGCTATTGCTAAATGATGAAACTCGCGCAGCTAAACCATCTGCAGAATTTATTGATAGAACCACTTGAACGAATGCCAAGTTATTAGAATTTCAAAAATTAATCTTCGTTCGAACAACAAAGTTATTTGCCAGAGTTTTTGTAAACTCATTTGTGAGATAACATCTGTCTGGTCTATCTTTTTCGTGAGTGATGACAAGATGTCAGTTGGAAACATGTTGTTGCATCGGAACACGAGCGAATGAATCTGCAAGCATACTTCAATGACATGTGTGAGCCATATTTAATTATTCAAGTGTGCGTGGGTATATTGACTGCAACTGCTATGTCTACGTTTCGAAATACGCGTATGCTAGTTTGAAACTTTTTCTTATGAAATAATGACTTCCAGATAATAAACTGATCAGAGATATTTATAGCAACGATATACATCGGAAAGCATGAAGCAAAATCTGCAAAGTAACTTCCTGTGTGGATGGATGTTTTATGTTGCTGTTTATTATTGCATGTTGTTTTGTGTTGCTACATGGTGTTGAATTTGGTTGCATGTTTTGGTGAGATTTGTGTTGTTGCATGTTGTGTGTGTTGCTGTATGTTGTTGGCTATGATTAAAAGCGCTGCTTGTTCACCGTCGTTTCTGCAATTGTTGGATTTTCTATGCCTTTTATGGTGTTTTGTTGCAAGTGGTATGGTGTTGCTGCTCTTCACGAGTACAAGTTGCTTGCATCCGTTGCATGTTGTTATAATTTGTTTCGTTTTGCATGTTGTTACGTAAAATTAATTTTGTAATATCAAAAATATTTATCGGTTGTTGGCAAAATTGCAAAAAATTTTCAGAAGCACCAAAATATTAAATCAGCACGGTTGCGAACCGTCGAACAATCACGATTACACGAAAAATCCAAATAGAAGAACCCAACATTGAACACAAACACAACTACTGACACTAACACAAAAACGAACATGAACAAAACAATGAACGCGACCACAAACGTTTCTAATGAAATCACACAATGACCAAAACCACACACAACTGCATTCGCAAACCACATGTGGTTGTGTATTGATCGAGATTGCACTTCAACAACGAATTAGTGAACAGTAGCACGTTCAGTTGTCTGACAAACAACATTTGGACAAAATCTGCAGAGAAAGAAAATTTACACACGCTAACTTTATGAAGTCATTGGTTGCCATTCATCACTGACATATTATAAACTAACATAACAACAAACTAACATTATAAACTAACATATAAATATAAATTAACATCACGTCTTTATTTGTACATACTTTGTTTGTATATACAGAAATATTTTTATGTAATTATGATCTGCTACAGGTTTAAAATCATTGTTTTCAACACAACAGCATATTGCACATGCGTCAACATTTTTAATTATTTCATTATTAACATTTTCTCACGTCTTCATCATCATCGAAAATGTTGCTACATAGTCATCATCCTCATTATATCATCGCCATTACCATTTCAAAAGCAGCAACATCATCTTCAAATGATAATCAAACATCACCACTCACAGCACCACCATCATCATCATTTAAAGGAAATTAACATCGTCATCATTATATGATCATCATCATCATGATCGTCATTATCGGAGATGATTATCATAACTCTACGTTAATTATTTTATTTGCGCATTCTTACGTTTCGGCGATGATAAATGATTTTGAAAATTGCAGTGCATCTCAAAAATCCTATTCATTCAATTGCAAAGCTGTTAGAGGCTTTTAAATTTCGTATCCTCCAATATTATCGCGTACGTCCATCATTTTAAACGAGGATGCATCATGACATGATGTATCATGATAGATCATGATACAATCATGGTGTATCATGATCGCGATGACGCTCAAACACGGCATACGTTACGTTGAAGTTAATTATTATACAATCTGCTACACGAATCACTAATGAAAATGTAATTTATTGGTAGAAATATTTTCTATTTATTTATTTTCATTTTCTGTAAAGATTGGAAAAATTTAAAAAAAATCGCTAACAAAAAATTTTTAACTTAATCTGTGTTGGTGTCGCACCAACACGTCCATCCAATAAGCCAACGACATCAAACAGCCAGACCAGATGCACGGACATCAAACAATTCATTCCGTCAGCCACACGCAAAAATGTTCATAACTAAAAATGCACAAGCAAGCGGGTACGTAGATTGACACGCGTTTCGAATCTTTCATTCGCATGACCATGTTTGCTCTCTGGTCAAAAATTAATACACGCTAGCATTCAATTATGAGACATGCTAATAAGTAATAGGAACTTATCAATATAAATTAAATGCACGCAAGAATACTAAACATACAAAGGCATTTATGCTAACAGACAACTAACTGTACATCACACAAACTTTCAATCAATCAATCAATCAAAAACATGTATATAGCAACACTTATGCCAGCGTCGTGAAACATTATCATTGAATCACGCACGTGCGTACGAAGCAAGCAAGTCAACATAGCATGCAAAATATCATGTAAAGTCAAAAACGAGCAAATACAAATGAGACTGTTATATATAATCAAATTTGAGCTTAGAGAAGAACAAGATAGATCTCGATCCCAAACATACAGGAAACGTTTTAACGAGCAACTAAATAACCCCAGAAAACGTTATAGGATGGTTAGTAGTACAACACACGCAAATCTCATTTAACCCCTATCTCAACCGCCCATCCAGGCACCCACGTGATGGAAGGGAGTGCCAAGATGGTCGTCACCGCTGTTGGAATCAATTCGCAATCTGGAATCATCTTCTCGCTCATGAACAACAACAACTCCACCACGGCCAACAACAATACCACCAACGCCAACAACTCCAACTACAGTAAGAATATCAACCGGAATGAATTTTATTACGAAGAGGAAGATGACGATGTGGATGCAGATAGAGTTGAAAGTATGTTCTTCTAAGAAATTTCATTTGCCTGATTTAATAAAAAATTTATTTGCCTGTTTTACGCTTCTAATCTTTTAACAAAAAATGTTTAAAACGTTTCGTTGAGTTTAAAATTAATTACGACATCAAAAATTCAACAGCAAAAAGTTAACAATTTTGACCGCCTTTTGTTTGAAAATTCTAAAACACAAGAAGCATCCAATAAAGGAGTTTGTGGATGGTGAAGTAGTGAATAATGAATGCACTTTCTATTCTTAATTGGCTCCGACTTTGAGATACGGCCACTGCAATACACACACATCGCCCACACACCACAAACACACCAACATACACAACATACACAAACAACACACACAAGCCCACACACTCCACACATATTCACGCATGAATTCACACACACACACTCACAAAAACACCGACACACACACACACTTAAACTCCCACACACATGCAAACACAGGCAGACGTACAAAAATTGTCGAAGTGCATTCTAATGCATCTTTTAAAGTTTGAGGAAGGCGCATTTAATAAGAAAGAAGAATGTTGGGAGGAAAGGAAAAACTATTTCATCCAATTTAAATCTCCATCCGTTAAACTTTTAAAACAATATAAATGGACAGGAAATTAACAAACAACACGAAGTACACACACACACACACATACACACACATATACAATTTTAATTATACCTTACTATACTGTGTATATTGAAAAACGTATATATATATTTAAACGTTTAATATACACTAAATAGTTATAACAATGAGATAATTGGTTTACGTTTTCAATATGAATAAACTGTAATTTATGTTAAAGTAGAATTAATTGCCCGTGTGAATGTTCGAAAGATTGGTGAATTCATTTATAAATATAAATAGACATCGATGTTGCGAACGTACTCAAGTAATGTATACCGCGTATGCACGCTCTGCTTTAACGCAATTCTAATGATGATGATCATTATTAATAATAGCAGAAATATTTTAATTGATATTTTCATAATTACCAATGCCACGACTCGAGGTTACTAACATCTTTATCATCATCAGAGCCTTTGTAAGAAGTTATAAACGTCTCGAAGTTTTAATGTAGGAGTAGCTGTTAAGTCGATGATATCACGTTCAACGTTAGGTTTCTAACTCCTTCATGTTACACATGTCAAGTAATTTCTTAGTTAGTTTTTTCTCTTATGAAAATGATATTCTGACACGTTCGTGGCGGGACAAGAGACATATTTTGAAGGTTAGAACTGCAATTTTGAAATCGATTCGAGCAGAGATGGAAAGCCAATGAAGCATTGGAAAAAGAGTGGAAGAGCTGAAACTAAGAAGTTTTTATTTATGTCGCAGAAAATATGTAAAAATTTCTTTGAAAACATTCAAGTAAAAATGGTTTAAACAATCCATTCAATTGAAATTTATTTTGAAAAAATTTTTCAAACAAATTTCGCTATCAAGCTAAGCTGTTTTTTTATTATTTTTCATTTATTTTTCTATTTTTTTATTAATTTAAAAATAATAAATGCGAGATATTTTCGTTTTGAGCAAGTGATTGTAACTGGTATCGCGCAATAAAGCAGCCGGGCGCGTAAATTATGCATGGCGTCAACACCAGGCTGGACAGACGATCTAAAACGCGGACAGGAAATTAGAGCTGATGATTTATTTAAAATATTTTCTGTGAAACTCTTTCCGGCGGCAAATATTGAAGTTTGGAGCTAAATATAAAGCAGATCATAAGCTTAATTAGTGGGCGAAAATGTGAGGTGTCGAACGTAATTTTGAGATTAATGATATCCTTTCCCGCCGTTGCCGCCACCTAGCGACATCCATGTATTGATCGTCGTCTGCATCATCAGACTATTGATCCGCCTCAACGTGTCCGTGTTCGTTTGTATGTGCCTTATATCTGTGTGTGTATCTTTGTATGTGCGTTAAACTCGTGTGTGTGTGTGTGCGTGTGTGTGTGTGAACTTGCGCACGAAACGAATTCGAATTCATTACGTGCGCTTATGCTCATGAGCATATTCAACAAAGTTAAAGAATTCTGACAACTAGTCGCATAAAAATTAAAACGGCTAACTTGGGATTTTGTGTGTCAAGTAGGTGAATCGTGAAAGAGCAAAATGTATCGGGACAGCAACATCAGGGTTTCCTAGACATATTTGCTCTGTTATGTTATGTATAAATGATAAAAATAATCTTTTTGTACATACAAACATGTAAAACATTTGGCTGATATCTGTAATAGAAGAACAAAAATGATTAACATGACATTAATTATGCATTCAATTATAAGAAGAACGTTTCTACGCTAAAGAAAATTGTGTGCATGCATTGATTTGCGTGTCTGTCTCTCTTCCCCTTTAAGCATCCATCCTGCATCACCGTCTGTGTATGTATGTAGGTGTATATGTATGTATGTATGTATGTATGTATGCACGTATGTACGTACGTATGTATGTATGCTGAGTGGTGTGAAAATATGCAGAACACAAAAACTTTATCATGGTGGCACGGCGTTTGTGTTAAGAAGTTGGATGGTCCCCTGTTTGAAAAGAAACGTCAGAATGCATAATTTTATTTTTTTTACTTTTTTATGTTTGCACGTTAAATTTTTTCGTGTTTCTTTTCATTTATTTTATACATTTTTTAACAGGTTTGAAGCAGTTTTTATGTCTGAATTGTTTTGTATAAATTGCAACTCGTCAGAAATGTGAGGTGTTAGTTTATTCAACACGATTTCATTATGCAGTTTATCAACTTGCATTTAGAATGTTCGAAACATTTTTAAAAGTATATAATTAAAAAATATCAGTATGATAACATTTTATGTGATAATAGTTATAAAGACAATAATTATAATTATGATGGGATTAAAAGAAAGTCTGAGTAGTTAATAAGCGAATGAAACACTTTACTTTTCTCACTGTGATATAAAAACCATGACTCAACTTTAACGCAACAACAATAAATCGCACGTTTCTTTCCATCCATCATAACTCAGCAACTATTCATATTTCATTCATATTTCAGTGTTATAAATGTTTCAACTTTTACAAATAGTTGTTGTTCTCGCATGATTTGAAGCAGCAAGTGGCAGCTCATGCATAATTCGAGTGAATCATAAACTGAGTTTTGCAATTTTAACAAATAAAGAATGGTAGTATTTGTCAGATATTTACACAAACCTTCAACTGTATAATCAATAACTGAATTTTATAGTTCTTTCGAAAGTATGTTCGTAGCATGAGAAGATAGATTAACATATTAATTTAAGCAAAATCTACTAATTTAATTATCATAATGTTGTTATTTGGTGTTACTATTTAACCGTGCAAGTACTTCGGTTGGTATTTTCATCATTTCAACTGCTCTTTAATTTTCTGTTAAAAGTAAGACGAAAATTGTCTGCGTAGTTTTGTTTAAGGGTTGGAATGGAATTGTAATCCAAAATAAACTTAATTTAATTAATCAAAAACCTAAATTCCTACAACTAATTTACCGCTACCACATTTATATATGCACTGCACTATATATAAATCACAATATCTGTACATATATCACTTTATGTATCCATATCATGGTATGTATCAATGTATATCATGATAATTATCCAAAGATCGTCAGCTACATTTTTTAAAATACCCTTTGATCATTCAATAGTCTTGCACTGTATAAAATTATAAATTTGAACTCATGCATGTTTGCGTGTGTTTACATTTATAATATATATACATGCATAAAAAAACGCAAACATACATACACGTACAAACATTTATACTTACCAAAATACACGCATACAAACACACACAAACGTATTAACATACAAACTTACATACATACATACATCCCATCACAGGCATTAGGCCATGCCTGTATTGAACCCACAAATTATGACTAATGTTTGGCATTGTATGATCTACATCAAGTACATCAAGAGCTTTGTTACGCACACCACTACTTACTTATATGCCTCAAGATTTTTTTACATTCCTTGGAATAAACCATACTAAAAATGCTGGTTATTATTGTCAGATCGACATAATAAAAAATTAAATAGCACATAAAACTTTGTGAATAATCTTCCTGTGTTGTTGAATTTCTGTTAAAGAAATTTATTTTAATATCCTAAAAAGTAACAAATTTTTTAGTTTACACTTCTCTACTCCATACTGCGTAAGTTGTCGTAATTTTATTTATATTGTACGAGTGTGCTGGTGCATTGAAGCTTTAACAAATTGAATTTCTGTCACCAGGGAGATTGAAGGAAGGGAAAAAAAGAATGAAAAATAAAAAAAGAGAGATAGATCGAAAGAAAGAGAGAGGAAGAGAGAAGACAAAGAAAGGATGAGTAACTTAAGCATGTTTGAATGCTCATTGCATTAATGCTTGGCTTCCTTATATTCACTACAGTCGAACATATTATGAATTTTTAAACTGACTGAAAATATTTCACCTCAAACAATTCCATTTTTCAGTTAAGTTGTTGCCGTTTAGTACACCTACTTATTTAGCGCTTTTGAAATCAAAAAATAATTTAGAATATCTTTTAGTTCGGTAAAATATAAACAATTTTATTTTAATAATATTATTGCAATAAACATTTCTTCAAAAAAAAAATCTTGTTGCAATTCCTCTTATTTGTACATTTTTTAAAAGTTACTTTTGTATAAAAAAAAACTATGCAACCTTATGACGGCATGGTAAAAATGAGAAATGTTGTTTGAGGAAAGGGTGTAGCACTCATAAATCATTGTTAGTGGATTAATGTGGGTTATTGATTTTCAGGCTGATTTGAAATATGACCACGTTACGTGCCAGCCAGCATCATTTTGCTCCAAATGAGACCTAATCATTAAATGCATCTCTTTTTTAAAGGTGCACTATAAAAAAATCAGCTTCATATGCATTAATATAAGCACATACGCCCATCTATTCTTATTTAATTCTAATTCTTCATATACATATGTGTAAATCAGTAAATGTATGAGTGTGAGTGTGGGTCTTTGAAT